CCCGGCCCCCGGCCCCCGGCCCCCAGCAGGCCTCTTCTAGGGGCTGGCTCCCTCGCGCAGGCCGGTGCATTTCGCCAGCCGCTTACCAACCCTGTCCTGACATCCAGCAGGCAACACCTCCAGTCTGCCCAGGGGGCTAACGGGGAGGAGGAGGTTTCTGGGGCTGGGGGGAGGTAAAGCCAGCCGCTGTGCCGAGGGGCCCAGAGACAGGGATCCTGCTGCACGGGCAGATTTGGCTGCGACCCTCCTCTGTCCTCGGTGGGCACAAACACGGCAGACAGACGGCAGAGTGGGCCCGCATCTCGCTGCTCTGAGTGGGCAGGAGCGAGCACAAGACGGAATGCCCCTTCTGCCCTTCACGTGATACCCATAACCGTCTGGATTTTTCCTCTGTACTTTACCTGGTGTTGGAATGGGCTAGTATACCCTAGTCTGACACATGGGAAACTGCGTGTTTTGAGGGCTTTTCCGTGGATGGGGGGTGATGGTTCCATAGGCCTGTTTCGAATATACTAGTTTGAAAACAAAAGCTGCAATATTTTAGTCCATAGTTAATTATATTGGATTAAAATGTTTTATGAATTTGATGTTGGGATCTGACATTGACCTTGAAGAGAAGGGCAGTGGTTTACGCAGAAGGACTTCTAGATCCGTGGGGTTTCGATGTTCAAAACTTAGCGAACACATTAATACTTTTCTTTTGATCTGAGGCAATTGGAGATTTCTTTTCAACAAAATTGCTGGCATTGAATAAAAAAGCCAAAAAAAGAAAAAAAAAGAAGAAGAACCGTAAAATGCCAGGAGGCGTGGGAACGGCTGTGAAATTTCTGGAATCAAAGTGATCACGCATACGTGACAGACACAGCCACCCTGGGATTGCCCGGACTGAGGAAGGCAACGTCATCACAGAAGGCTCCGGATGCTGCCAGACAAGCGTCCATGTCCGGGTGTGGTTCGGTTACTGGAAGTCGGTGGTCAGGCTGCTGCTACTTTTTTCAATAAAACAGGTACTTCCACTGAAGAAGTCGATGTAGGATATAGGTGTGTGTGCGTGTGTGTGAGTGTCTCTGTGTGCATCTGTGCGTGTATATCCATGTTGCATGTGTGTCTGTATAGGTGCACATCTTTGTGTCCGTTCATGTACATGTGCGTGCACACGTGCGTCCGCACGCGTGTCCCTCACGTGTGTGCATGTGTGCCTGGTCATATCACACACATGCATTTCTGCATACGTATATGCACACGTGCAGTGGCTGTGTGCATGTGTGTATCAGTGCACACGTGCATGCCACGTGCACACATGTGCATTTAGGTGCATGCACACGTGTGTCTCCGTGTAGGTGTGTCTTACATACACATGTGCACACACATGTGCACAATGCACATGTCTGTGTATGTGTGCACGTGTGTGTCTGTAGCCATGTGCATGCGTGTATCAGTGTGTGCCCACATGTAGCTGGTGCACATGTCTGTGTCTGTGTGTGCCTGTGCCCGTGTGTCTGTGTGTGCACGTCTGTGTGGACGTGACTCTCTTTTGTCTAGTCTTCAGGCTGGGTCCTGGTCAGTGCCACCCGCCCTGTGTAAGCCACACTTCTTCCTGCCCACCGCAGGCTTCCTGAGGCAGCCATGACATAAGGAGGTGTTCTCGGACTTTTTAATTGTATCTGCGCTTGTCTCTTACAGAAACCCTACACAAATCACGTTTTTAACTCCTTTCTAGTGTTGTAGTAGGTCTGATGCTAGAAACGTCCTTCTTCATGGACTAAAGTCGGCAGGACGACGGGTCGCGCCATCGCCTTTGCGTTCAAGCTGCAATCAGAAACACACCAGCACTTTCTGGAACGTCACGTGAACAGTGTCTTCCCTGTGCTTTCGCGATGCCCGCATTCTCCACGTGTTCGTGCACCCGCAGAGCTGGGAGCCTGTCGGCACAGCCTCACGCCGTCTGTCCTGGGAGGCTGCCCTCAGACCCGACTAGAGGGGCTTGGTGACAGTTTGCGGGGCTCTGTTTCGATGCCCGGACGCTCGTGGTTAAGTCCCACACAGATGGTTGTCGTTGGTTGTTTCCTGCATGAATGTTGCGAGAGAGGTCGCAGGTGTCTAATTGGCCCCCCCGGTTATGGACTAAAGTGTTTCCCGTTATAATTTGTTTCTGTCTCTCTGCATTTAAACGGATAATAGTCATTTAGAAGGGAAACTCTGTTCCTTTCCTCTCGACTCTGAAGGGATGCTTCAAGCAGACACTCCCCCTTGCTGTCCTTGCTGCCTGGTGGCGGAGGGAAGAGGGGTCCCCCCTGCCCGTTCCTCTGGCCTTTTATCACAGCACAACCCCCTGTATTAGGGAGGGAGAAATGTTCTATTTAGGCAAAGAGCTTTGCAGCACAGAGCCCTTGCTTTTTCTGAGTCTGGCCTTCAAAATTACGGGTGGATAAAATATTACAACCTTTCAAACAGTGTCTGCCTTCACTGGGTGCCAGGACAAATAAAAGGCACGTCACTCACAGGACCAGCGCTTCTGCGGCCACCGCCCCAGGACAGCATGCCTCCTTTGTCTGGCCACCGCTGCTCGTCTGGCTCCCCCACTCTGAGGCCAGCCCTGTCTGCTCTGGGCCTGCGCTGGGCCGCGAGCACGCAGCGGCGGGGCCCGTCTGCACCCCGGCACATAGCACCCGACTCCGAGTCAGGATCGTGTGGTAGCCGTTCCCGCCCGAGTCACCACCCAGGAAAACACCCCGTCTCGCCTCTCATCTCTCTGTGCTTGGTACTAGGATTTCAGTAAAGAGGGACATCTGGTTTAGCCCGAGTGGGCGTACATCAGCCGTGTAAGGGTTTAAAGTGATGTTGAGGACGCGGGGGAGGGTCTGCCCCCAGGATCACTACGCGGCATGGCACCTAGGGCGAGCTGCTTGCCACAAAGATCGATCTGGCGTGGAGTGTTCTGACCGCAGTGTAACAAGTCACGACCTAAAGAGAAGGGAAGGGAGATGTGACTAATTCCGAGTGGCATTCCTGGGGTTCTTATGTATTTCAGTGGAATTGCTCTGGTGGCCGCTGACCCCTCTCAGGGGTAAAGACCCTGATTCAGAGCACGCAGAGTCGGGGGCACAAGCAGGTGGTGTGGGCAAACCGAGCCTGCATCTTCGAAGGACGGCTGACACAGGCCCCCCAGTTCTGTGCCGCAGGCTTGCCTCCGGCGACCTCCTAGCCAGCGACATGCTGGACCAACACGGGGAATTCAATCTCCCATGAGAGGGGCGAGTCGCCCGCCCCAGTTTGAGCCGGTCAGCAGTTGAATGCAGAGTCTTCTAGGAAGGCCTCCAAGCCAGGAACAAGGTCCGTGAGTTGCCTGGAAAATTTATGCTCTTTTCCCATGTCCCACAGTAGCCCAAATATTAGAAATGATTTGTAATTCCATCTGTGCCCTGGTGAGAGCTTGCAAGCTGGAAGTCCTATCGCTTTTCCTTTTAGACAGTCAAACCACAGGTTATACTTAAAAAACGAGGACAGCAGTCCAGCAAAGCAATGATTTGTCCTCAGCTAAAACACAGACTGCACTAAAACCACATGTTGCTGAGCCCTGGCTGGCCAGGCCGGACTGTAGATCAGGACATGAGTGCAGAGCCTGGGTGAAAGGCTCTTTTCTGCAGCGTATGTGCCCGTAACTCACGGTACAGCCTGCAGCCCACGTCCCCCTGAAGCCCAGGACGGGTGTGTGGAGTGGCAGAGTCTATATTCAGCCCCTGGACACCGCAGGAGCTGTGGCCGCAGCAGGAGCCCTGGAGCGGGTGCCCAGAGGGCACGCTGTCTGAGCCAGCAGTCTCCAGTACCAGGCAATCAAAAGTCACCATCTAAAGATCTTGGCCAGTGGACACGTTTGAAGAAGTATATCTTGGAGTCCAGACGGCCTTTAAGATCTAGACAACTTGTTATTTAAATCTGGAAACACTTTAGAAAAATGGGGAAAGCCATTCTTCTTGAGTCTGCAAGCTCAGACGAGCGACATCATACGGCAGCCTGAGAAAGAGAAACGTGAGCTGGCGTTGGTGTCCTGGGGCTCGTGGACGACACACGGGGTATGCTGCTGCCTCTGCCCTATTGGGGGCTCTGGGGGCCCATGCCTCTGCACCTGTCACAGACGTCCAGCATGAGCAGCGGGAGCTCCGGCCCCTTCTGGTCCCGGAGGTCATGCGTGGGCTGTGGCAGGCTGTGGGGACAGCGGAGGGGACTCACTCCTGAGCCAGGGTGGCCCTTGCAACACACGCACCCCCGTGTTTGGTTTGAGGGTCTGTTTCCAAACTCCTGGTGTCCGGACAGAGATGACACATGCCAGTGTGTTCAGACTCTTTCTTTTTTTGTGAGTTTCTTGGGTCCCGGAAGATGGCTCCCTGAGGAGCCGGAGGAACGTAGAAACTTTTACTGAAACATGTTATGGTGATGTTGGTACAAATGCCTGAAAATATGGGACAGAGTGGAAGGAGGACTAAGGATATGTGACCTTTTGTCTGACTTATTGTCAGACTTTCCACTCGTCGTTGGGGGTGGGAGGAAGGACTTCAGTATGGCTTTGAGACCTTGGGACAGCATGACAGACATGAGGACCACCGTGGTTTCCCGGCCAAGGCAGTCTCCAGACCTCGCAGCCGAGGGCCAGGGCCTTGGGTCTGATCTTAGAGGGGCTTCTAGAGCTGGCCCGCAGTGTGTGTCCTGGAGCTGGTGTGCTCATACCCCTGCTTGGACCCGCAGACGTCCGTCTGCTGCTGGCCCCACAGGGGGACGTCTTCACCTTCGAGGAAGCAAAGTCCTTGCAGCTGGAGAAGCGGAGGGACCGTCTCTGAGCCTCGGGTCTGCCCACTGAGTGCAGAGAGCACCCCACTCTTCTCACCGCACAGGCCTGAGGGCCTCCCATGGAGGACCCTCCGCCTCACCCGCCCACGGTGCGTGACTCTGCGCCTGCCTCTCCGGGGTGTGTAAGGGACACCTGTGCTCTGCTCCTTCCACAGACGTGTCCAGGTGTGTGGCCGAGAGGAAGTACACCCAGGAGCAGGCCCGCAAGGAGCTGCAGCAGGTGTTCATCCCGGAATGCAATGACGACGGCACCTACAGCCAGGTGACCTGCTTTCCGGCAGCTTCTGCACCTGGAGGCGTGGGCGGGGCCGTGGGAAGGAAGGCCGGGGGCTCCTGTGGGAGAGGTCGCTGCCCCAGCTGGGAGCCAGTGAAGGACAGGGCTGACTTCCACAGCCAGTTGTGCGAGTGAATTCACTCACGCCTTTCTGGGGGGCAGGTGTCTCTGTTGGGGCCATGCTGTCCCCCTGTGTCACTCACTGTGTCCTGCCCCCCAAACCCCTTGAGGTGGGTCAGCCCCTGTGCACCAAGCTCTTTGCTGAGGATCTAGTCCCAGAAGGATTCTGAAAGTAGAGAGTAGAGCCCACCCTGGAAGTATGCTGGGGAGACCTCAGGGAGCAGGAGGGATGCCAGGTAGAGCCTGGCGGTGGGGGGCGGGGGGCGGAGCCGGAGGGATGCCGGAGAGACCCCGGGGTGGGAGAGAGGGAGGAATGACAGGGAGACCCCGGGGTGGGCAAGAGGGAGGCTGAGGAGATGGGGGAAGGGGTAGTGCGAGGGATGCCCGGGAGACCCTGGGGAGTCAGAGGGATGCTGGCGAGACCTGGGGTCAGAGAGTGGGAGCAAGAGAGATGCTAGGGAGACCCCGGGGTGGGGACAGAGCAGGAGGGATGCCATGGACCGAGGTGGGGAGGGTTGCTGTCCCTTCCCCTCATGTCTGCCGCGGTGCAGTGGGGAGAGGCTGAGCGTGTCCCTGGGCGCCCTGGGGCCCAGCTCCCCCGGGGAGACATGAGCGGCGGCTGCGGCTCAGGCGGGCAGGCATCCTGGACACGGCTGCACAGGTGCGGGGTCGCGGGGCGCGCTCTCTGCCGTCCCAGGGCGGGGGGCTGCCCTGCCCTTCACAGGGTGTGCGGACGCGGTGACGGGAGACGCGCTGCCGGAGCTGACCGCTGTCCCGCCCGCCCGCAGGTGCAGTGTCACAGCTACACTGGATACTGCTGGTGCGTCACGCCCAACGGGAGGCCCGTCAGCGGCACGGCCGTGGCCCACAAGACGCCCAGGTGCCCGGGTAGGTCTGCGAGCGCACCCCGCGCCTGCCGCCGACCACCGCTGAGTCCTTCGGGTGCGCCCGGGTCTGTGTGCGGTTCCCAGGGGACCCCGTGGGGTGGTTGTGGAAGTCACTGCGGGGGGGACGAAGCCGAAAACAGGGAGAGCTGTTCTAAGACGGTTCTGCCGCCGAGGATCTGGTCTGACTCTGGAAGGTTCTTTGATTCAGGATGCGGGGTTTTTTAGGAATGACCACAAGGACTGTAGTCAGCACTGGAAACCGCCACATGTTTCTTTTGGGGATAAAAGAAAAAAGTTCTGGTTTTATATGTATATGTTTGCAAAGAAAAAGAGGCTCATTCTGTGTGTCCATTTCCAGATGCTTGATTGGTGTTATTTTGTTTCTCGGAAGAGGGCCTGATATGCCGAAGGCTTAATAGGGCCAGGAGTGTAACCTATGAAATAATCCATTTTCCTTTAGTATTTTACCAAAAATGATATAAATGGGCCTGGTCATTTTCACTGGAGAGAGTGTGACAGCGTGAGTTGTGACTGATCTGACCGTCTCCGAAGGGACTCGTGATCTCTGCATCCAGCTTCCCAGATCAGACTTGAGTCCACGGTCGCAGCAGCCGTAGTGAAAACGAAGCACTGACCGTGTTCCCGAGTTTTCACGTAAAACATCGAAGCGTTTGCCTTTAGGTTGTACTTTTAGACTCACTTTTTAAAAGTGAGACATCTTATAATTAGGAATTCTGTTCATGATTCAGACGTTTACACGGGGAGCCACGGCGCAGGCTAGAACTTATGACTGTTGCAGTATGGTGACATCTGTAATTAACAGTGACACGAGCCTCATATTCCCAGTGACTGGTCGTCACTTAAAAGCCAAGGGTGTGCATCATGTGGAATTAAAATATATTTATTTTTAAAAACTCCTTGGTTGTCCGAGAGCTAAAAATTGCTGACAAATATTTTTAGTGAGCTAACGTTTGCACCTAATAATTCTTCTATGACCTCATGGAGCAAATGAAAGGAAGAGGGATGGGAGCACACGCTGTGCGCCGCCCTCCGTGCCTCTCATTCTGGGAGACGCCATCGCACAGGTATCTTTTTCCAGGTGTGCGACTCCATGAGGCACCGAGCCTTATTTTATGAAGGAGAAAACTGGGGGATGTCCAAGTCTGTGATTTTAGTGATACTGTTAGAAAATTAACTTGTGTCTGAAAGATCTGTATTGGGGAGCCATGTGTACAAAATTGGCTGAATTTCTTACATTCTCCAAATAGTGCTTTGTTTTTGGAATCAAACCACTACAGGACCCACTAACACATCCCTTTTTCAACCAGGTGCCAGTAATTATAATTAGACTATATAGAAATGCCGCATTTTCGTAGTGGCTGCGTGGGTGTTTTTGGCCCACGTGATGGGTTATGGGAAACAGTGTGCTTGAAAGCCTGGCGTTTCTCGCGTGGGGACTGGGCCGGGCTCGGTGGGTCGGGTCAGGCTAGCGGCGAAGGTGGGGAGTGCCGCTCTCAGACTCACCGTCTGCAAGTGAGCGTCTGTTCTCACTTCTGGGCCGGGGCGGGGGTTGTGTGGGCCGGGTCCCCTCGCACCTGCTGACACTGCGATGCCCTCTGTAACTTCTGAGGCGCTCTGCGAAATGTCTGCCAACCCCACGCTGTGTCATGCTTTTACTCTGCAGGAATGTGGGTGTGGGAAAGCAGGTGTCTGTGCTTGGAAACTGCAGGGTTTGGGGAATTGCTGTGAGAGTCTGAGGCCAGGGAGGGGTTCGGGACGGTAGTGCTCGCCCCCACATGCATGACGTGCGCAGAGACTCACAATGCTCGGTCACACACGCACACACACGGTGCCACACACACGGCCACACACACGTGCATGATCTCCTTGTGACGAACTTCTGCATAAGGCACTGTGACTTCTCCCCAGATGTTGACACAGCCTCACTGATAATGCAGCAAAGCGGGGGGATGGGACGTCTCTGCCTGGGGTCCTTGTGCTGACATTGCTCCAGAGAATCGCATTTTCCATCTGCAACCAGCCAGGGACCTGTTCTCCGGGGACATCGTCCTCTCCGCGCCGGTAGATGGGCGCGCGCCTCTACCGCTGGTGCCCATGATGCGCTGTAAACCGTGGGCGTGGTTTTCATCCAGTTTATTAAAATCGCGTCAGGCTCACTGTTCAACAGCTGTCTTTCGTCCTGGAGTTCACACCAACCTTACCCTACAAACACCCGCCACAAAATTGTGACAAGAGATTTAAAATGTAGCCGTCAACAGTAGCCATCGTTCAGAACGGCACGTGTGTTTATCGCGAACCTGTGCCGTGCACGGTGAGGTAGGTTGGGGAGGGAGCAGACGTCCTCATGTTAGTGCCGTGTCAGAACAGGGAGAAGACCTCCTGCCCCCAAGTCTCCACCGGCTCGCTTCTCCCAGGAGACCCTTTAAAAGGGGGAACCTTCCTTTATTCCATAATTATGTAATCTTAAGCCATTAATGCAAAAGACCCAAATTCCTATTAATTGATAAGGAGAATGAGATGAGACACTTGAGCAGAAAAATGGTCAAAGGTCCTGAAGAGACAGCGTTTTATAAAGGAGGAAACCCTAATGACCCGCGAACATAGGAGGAAGTGTGCAGGCTCATTAGTACCAGGGAAATGCAAATTAACATTGCCATGAGAGTCCCCTCCACACCCCCTGCCCCCTCCAATTAACAGCAAAGAAAAAGTGATCTGTGATGTGTTGGTAGGAACATGGGTGCACAGACCCTCCCCCAATGCACCAGCAGAACCCGCTTGCCTCCGACATGGGGGTAACGGGGTGCGGTGTGGCTCCAGGGATGCTCCTGGTTTGCAGCAGGAGACACGTGCAGAGCGTCCAGACCCGCGTTTGTGGCAACAACCAGATCTGGGAAACGGATGGACGGCCACAGCGTCCAACTGGATGGACCATGTGTTTTGGTCAGTTTGCTCAGACCCGTGGCGCCAACGTGGTCCTGAGCAGAAGTGCCACAGAACAGAACACACGAGTCCACTTAAAATTCAAAACACAAATCAAACTCAACTCCTGCAGTTAGAGAAACATCCCCGGGCAGAAAGCCACAAAGGCAATGAGGAGGGGGTTGTGGTAGGATCAAATGGCCGTTCCAGGGCAGAGGGAGGATTTTGACCAGAGAGAGGGTGGGACATGTCGCCTCTGCATGCCCGGGAAGCTGCTTCTCTGGATCTTTGACGACAGATTGTCAGGCTGTGTAGGCACGTCGGTGGCAGGAGTGCAGAAGTCCACAGCTTTAAAGAGAAAAAGTGAAAACTGCAGAGATCATTGGAGGAAATAGCCCAGGGACTTGAACCCTTCCTAGAGTTATGCATCAACCTGAGGGTCTGGATGGGGGGAGGGCGGGGAAGCAAGGATGCACAGGGGCTGGAGGGAGGGATGGGGTGAGAGAGGCATAAGGGACGGTTTAGGGACACCCGGCTGCCATCCTCGATGTTCTGCAGAAGTGGAGGCAGTGGCTTGGTGGCCCGTGTCAGTGTCGTGGCTGCTGCCCGTGTCTGAGGGGACCCGCCAGGCGTCAGGAGTCACGGCAGCCCGGACTGGAAGTGGTATTACCTTCTAGTTCCTTCTAGTTTACAGGTGGGGACTCCACCAAGGCCTCTTTGCTTGGGACAGAGCTACAACTTAAAACTCTTATCTTTTGTCTCCATAGTCCACATTTTTTGTCAAATCCAAAAATACAAATTCACAAGACATGAACTTACTTGGAAAATGCGTAACTCCAGGCGTGAGACCCACGAGTAGGTGGAGGTTTTGTCCAGGCCCCGGCAAGGCACTTAGAGCACAGAGAGCTGCGTCTGCCCCCCACCCAGCCCATAGGCTCCCCACTGCTTCTGAAAACCCGCCACTGACTATCCACACGAACCCAGGATGGTCCCCTGGGGTCAGCGCTCTGCTCGGATTTTCATAGCTAGTGAGTCTCGCGCCATGTCCTTCCAGCCGTGGCCACGGACTCAGGGATGCTCAGGCGGGGAGAGGCAGAGGCTTCGGTGGAGGGGCGGGTTTGGGGTGGCAGATCCTGGCCCACGATACCCCGTGGACACGCGCTTCCTGACGACTGAACCACTGAGCGTGGCGACCCCCTAACGAGTCCTAAGATGCTGTGTTAGTAAATCAGCGTGTACATGACGCATCCACCTGGAAACTCACAGAGGGCATCCAACGTGACTCCCCCCAAGGAATCCACTCGTCGTGCATTGCTAATTCATTTGTGGTTGAGCCTCTGCCAGGCAAGGCACACACGGTCTGTTGAGGGCACCGCAGACACGCGTGTCCCGGGTGGGCGAGGTCGGCTTGCTGCGTGAGGGTGGACAGGCGAGGACAGTTCTGAGAGGGGGGACACGTTGGCCTGGCATAAGAAGGGGCATGAGTGTCTTGTTCTCACCACTTGTTCTCGAGCTGGTGCTCCTCGCTTCTCTCTGCCCTGCGGGTCCTGAGGCCGGTGCAGAAGGTGAGCGTGGAGGCTGGTGGGAGCTCCCTCCCTTCCAGGGGAGAGCGCGCAGGTGCACGGCAAGCGGCACACTGCCTTGAGAAGCATTCAGGACCGAGATGCTGCTCTTTGAGCCGCCTCCAACTGCGCCCCAGACTTTGCCCTGTCTGAAAGCGGGTGTTTCTTGCTCGTGGTTTGGAGATTTCTTTGCTCACCAAGACCTGTGGATTTAAACCCCTGGGTCAGGAGATGGCTTTACGCTCAGGTCTTCTGCATGGGAGGTGCTCAGGGGATAAAGGAAATGACAGGGAGCCCTAAGCAGTTCCCGCACCCCCTGTGCTGGTGGGGGGGCCCCGAGCAGTTCCCGCACCCCCTGTGCTGGTGGGGGGCCGGGTCGATATGCCTCCATCTAGACGCTGCTGATTCATATTTATTCTGCAAGAACTTTTTCTTCTTCTTTTCTTCTTCTGAAGACCTGAAGACTGACATTACCGGGGGCAGAGTAGAACTCAGAAAC